AAACTTAACAACTTTTATAATACACGCTATAAATCACAGCGATTTACAATCTCGATAACTTCGCTCTCGATGAGTGCAAAACACACACTTTACGGCTCACTAGCTCGAAACTAACAGAATCATAAGTTACACGGAACTCAAAATAACTACTGTTCTCTCTTCATTCATCCCACTGGCTTTCTTTGCCAGGCTTATATACTAACGAAGAAGGCATCTCAAACAAACTCGGACTTCCCTGATAATTCGAGAAACTCATCACGCATGCTACCAGTGCCAAGCACGCCAGCAGCGTCACGTGACTTCCGCTGTCATAACAATATTAACTTACAATTAGAGCAAACTACCAACATAGAGCGAAACTAAAAAGTCTACTTGATTATGAGATTGACTAATTAAATATATTTTTCTTACATTTCTGCTTATAAAGATTAGAATGCATTGCTTCATCAGTTTGGTATCCTTACTGTTAATAATATTTTTGGCCATGATCCCAATAATATTTCACAAAGTTCAGCCAGCTTAGATAATTTAAGTTAGTCCTAAATACATATATTAAGCTAACATTTCAAAACAATCTCTGTCACGAAAGTACAATAATAAAAAATATAACTAAAAACTTTAAAAGTATTTAGATTTATTAAACAGTTTAACTAATACTGTTAATGGAAGTAATAATAAAGAAATAATACCTGACTTGGGGATCACACAAACAGTAGCTGTTGGCTAGCTTGGCTTCTACTGCCATTCATGAGGGGATCTCAGAAAATATTGTGTTTTATTTCTTGTATATCAGCCTTGTAAGATTATAACTAATGGTGTTAAAGATGTGGACAACCAGGCACTACTTCCATTGGCTAATTTTAAGTACAAGATATTTCCTACATATTTCTGTTAGCTTCATCCTATCAGTTCAGTAAAATACCACTGTAATGTTGTGAACTCAATTACATACAGTTGTGTTAAGAACACCAGATGTCTAAAAACTAACCTTCAGGGGATCAGAAAATAAAAACATGGGGTGCTAGGCTATTTGTTATGCACAGTTATGTTCCCCACATTAGTTCAAGCCATTGCAGATAGGGAGGAAAATTTTTTTTATTAAAACATTTTGAAGAAATACTTAATTCTTCATTCCTTTCCAAGTAAAGTCCCCAGAGGAAAAAATATATTTGTAGACTTAACAGATAGAAAGCCATTATTATTTTGCTTAGGTCCAATCAAGTATTGGATCCCATGCAAGTATTGAAGAGTTAACACTAGCCCAATAGCCTGGGAAAAGTCGTAAATGTTGGTGATGTGACACAGTAGTTGAATGGGGCTAGCAGCTTAATATTGAATGTCTGTTTTATTTTTGACTCGCATGTTTGATTTGTTGCCAACATCAAACTCTGTTTGATTCAGAAAGCAGAAAAAGAAGTAACTTAACAACCAATAAGAAAATTATTTTCTTCTTCTGCTAATCAACATCAGTTCGCTTCTCACTTTGAAGGCTACAGTTGTGGTATCATACCAATGCAGAGTGTCTTTAGGTAAATGTATGCTATACCTTCAATGTCTAGTTTTTTTAGTTATCTATTAAGTACATTAAATATTGTACAGTAAGTATTTACAGTATTTATATTTTGATTATCTTAATGATTTTATAGATATATTTCTAGCTGACAAAATAGAAATAAACTGAGTTTCTAACTTTATTTTTTAACAGTAACAACTTTGTTTTAGTTGTGATCATTATGCAATGCATTTTTTTAAACATATATATACTATTGCATCTTTAACTTTAAAGGGTTTTTTTTTTATGGCATGGTAATTTGCAATTATAACACTTACTAATTTATACCAAATTGTTGAAGCTTTTAATCAAGCTTACTGTTGTATTTTATTTAGCAGTTGGAAATTTGTTGTGATTTTTTAAATTAATTCCAAGGAAACGATAGCTGTCTTGGGTTTCACAATATTTGTAAATTGATTTTTGAAATTGAACAATGTTAGTAAGAACAAATCTTCATGTTTTGTGTACTTGTTGTTTTATTAGTAAAACTTTCTGTGTGTTGGACTAGTGACTATAACACCATCCTTAATGGGCTATAGGCTTAGGAAGTTAACGTAGACACTAGATGCTACACAATAATCTCTCAGGTTTTGTTAGTTAAAAACTGGTGCATATTTGTTTGTCATGTAGAAAGTTTAGGAACTTTGGCTAACCATCTGCTGAGTTTGTTAAATCTTACTGTAACAGCTTTTAAAATATGATAAATTGAACATCCTGAACATTCAAACTTGTATTTGTTATTAGTTTTCTAAAATTAAGACCAAGAAAAAATATTTTCCTTCTGCATTGTCGGATTTCATATTAACATTTACAAATTGTATTTGAAAAACATTTGTTAATCTAGTTTTTAAGAATGACAGTTCTTAATTGTTAAAAGTTTTGTAGGCTAACTCTTCTGGTAAAGCTTAGGTAGCTGAAAAATTATTAGGTACCATTCTCACACAAAAAAAATCAACACGATAAAATTCAAATCAAACTTAATGTAACAAAAACCTAAAAAAAATACTACTATACCCATATCATTAGCTCTTCTTCGTGTAGGACACTTGTGAATTACATTCACAATAAACTTAATACTTATACTTAATTAAGATCTAATTCAGCTCTCTTAATACTTATACTTTTTTTATATAATTAAGATCTTATACTACAAACAGCATATTAATATGTCTCCTAGTAAATCAATAAGTTAGAATTTAATTTACTTTCACTTAAATAAATAATTTCAATTAAATGTCATTCAATAATATAAACATACTAAGGTAATAATTATGGTTTTCTTTTACCAGTTAAAATCGTCTCCTATATATATATATATATTTTTTTTTCTGTAATAAAACGACACATTTATAAAACTACTTTTAGACTACAGAATATTTCTTATCAAATTCCTCTTAATTTGTACATTACCAATGTAAAAGCTACCCTTTGTTTACCATAGTTTACTGCCCATACAAATAACAATACTGGAACTTATCATGTGAATGATGCAAGACAAAAGTTTTTCTGAAATACCACTTAAAAAATGCAGAAACAAGAAGAATGTAAAACAAACAAAAAAAACTCTGCAGCCTAACACAAGCTTTATCACAAATATTGAGTTTCCAGTGGTTCATCAGCTTTCTTTGTTTAAACTGTTACTTTAAAGGACAATTATTATGTAATATGAGCAACATTAAGCAACCAAACCTTTTAAACTGTCAAAAAGAAAAATCCTGAATTAGGACATATTCCTTTACATTTTGTTTCACCTTTTTTTTAATATTATCTAAATATATTTCTGTCAGCTTCCTTTTAGATCGTCTGCTTGAACATGAGAAGGTAGAATCATCATCAAGTGACTCGGAGGCAACTGTTTCGAGCGACAGTGAAGTTGAACAAAAAGGGGATCACCTTCCAGCGAAGAAGTAAGTTTGTTATGTAAACAAATTCTCTAAATAATGACATTTTGTTATTTTAGTGAGTGCATTGATATTGATATATGTTGTATTTAATTGAGATATTTGCTTATGGTTAGTTTTATGTTAATGTTCCTAAAAGCACTATAACCCTGGAAGTTCCAAAATCATGAGCTTTTGACATATTAATCAAGACTAATTCATATGTTTTACCATAGGATTTTTAACTTTGTTTCCTGTTGAACTTAACAAAAATGCTATAGTTTATTTTTCAATAAGAAGTTTCTTGTATTTGGGTGTGTTGTTTGAATATAATAAACTTGCAGTGTGTTCAATAACTTCTAAAAGTGTTCTCTCATTTTTTAACTTGTTCATTACCACATTTATAAATAAATAACTTTCTCAGTGCCTGTGTTCATTTTTAGATACACAATATAAAATAAAAAGAGTTTTACTATGTTATTACTTATCTGAAAGTTGAAAATGGTAAATTTTTGAGTTTGGAAGGAAATACTCTTTATTCATGGTGGCACAAAATTTGAAAATTACAATTTGCATGTAATTAATATCAGACTTTTCAAAGTGAACAGAAAGGTTATATAGCATGTCATATATATGGGTCTGTGACAGTGAAAGAGTAAGTATTATTATTATTTTACATTTTAAAATAAACTATATCAGTATATAAGGTCTAAAATTAAAACAAATGATCTGTTTATTCTGGGAGTGTTTGAAAGTCAAACTTGAAATGGCATATAAAAGATGAGAGCATTAAACTGGCATTTTATTTGTGCTTTAATAATCATGACTAATCATTATATTTGCTTTTAAAATAGTAATCTTCTGTCAAAACATGAGAAAAAATATTTTTATGTGTAAATATTCTTAGGTCTACATCACCACACTTTGTGAAAAGTGAAATAACTGATCAGTGTGGTAAATAATTAGTTATCATTGTAAATACAAATGAATAAAGAACTTAAAATTCCTAGCTAACATTTATTAATATTTTTATTCAAACATATTGTGCCAAATAAGTAATTATTAAAATGTATGCAATGGTAAATCAATAAGCCCATGATATTCTGAGTATATCAATTTAAAGATAATAAATAGAATAGTCCACAAACATTCAAGCACACACTCACTACTTTTGTGTATATATGGTTAGGCCTGCATCACCACACTTGTAAGAGGTAACAGGTCATGACTTGTCAGTAAAAGAACTTTGATTTTGATTTTTTTTTTAAAAGAGAGAGAGAAATAAAATAATATTTTGTATTTATGTTACTTTGGTGAAATCATTATAATAAATATATTCATGTATATAATAAGAAATTTGTGTTATTATTACAGTATATATGAAGGAGGAAATTTGTTGGATTGAAACAATTAATTTTTTAGTAATCAGTAGAAATTGCAGGAAGGTAAAATTTTTTTCATAGACTCTTTTGTGAGCTTAATGGGATTTACTTTGAAGAATTTAGGGCCTTATTAATAAAACTACAGAACTTGTGTGTTTATTCACTTTCTAGTATTCCAGAAGTATCAATATATTGTTGTTTTATCACACTGTGACAAGCTATCCTGCAAATTTGATTTGTAGTACACTGTTTGATCTTTAGGTTTGTTAGGAATTTTAACCCTAGTTTATTGAAGCACTAAACAGAATGTTTGGTTTGATCTCAGTGCACTGTAATATATTTTTGTTTAACAGATCAAATTTGAACATAAAACCAAACTGTACTGTGTACTTTTTTGTGCTTCATGTTACATTTAACTGTGATAATAAAAAGTTGGACTACAATGATGCAAGAAGAAAATAACATTTCATCAGTGATTTATTTTTTTTCTCATATGTTTTTTTTAATTCTAGGAAGGTTTATATCGAGAATTAGAAAAATCATACAAAGAAAAGTTGTTATTTTTTATTAATTTAGGAGGAAGTCCCAACCTGTTCCAAGCACAGAAGCACAAACTGTTTCTTCTTCTGCTGTTGAAGGAATGGTCACATCTACTACAACATCTGTGAGTTTTAAAATAAGGAATTCTATGCATTTATCAACTTATTTTATTACTTAAAAATTTATTTGTTAATAAACTTTATCTTATCATCAGATTTTTTTCTGTTTGGAAAAGCATACAACTAAGAATAGTTTTAAATAAAAAAATACCTTTTACACTTTTAAAAAATGTAGTGAATTTTTTTTTTTTTTTTTTTTGAAGGCTTCAGGAGATTCTGTTGCTTCCAAAAAGAAGAAAGCTTCTCGGAAACCCCCTCAACCCAAACCAGGTACTTTTTTGTGAACCTGATATGTTACAATTTTTCCCTATATTTTTATAAAACTTTAGATCAATTATGTCAAATCTGTTATGTTTCAAGAGAATCCATTAAGAAATACACGAGATATAAAATTTCCAATTTTGACTCAATTTTTTCCTTTTTGTATTTTTATTTATACCAAAAGCATGGAAACTTTATTTGATAGAAAAACATACTTAACTTTCATGGATTTTTTCAAATTTGGTACACTGATGGATCTTTACAACCTACAAATAGTTGTCAAATTTGGTCTAAATATAAGCCACATGAACAAAGTAATTCAACAAAAATCACTCAATTTTGACCAAAATGTTTAAGCACGCCTGTGCAAAAAAGTCATGTGAGCTATCAGTCTGACATTTTCACTACAGTTTCACCTAAGAGTAAAAGTGGAATGTTTTATTTTTTTTGTCATTTGGATTAAAAACAGCTGATTTAGAGCAGCAAAACTATAGGGTGAAAGCATGTGCGGATACAT